TTGATAGCCATGCTAACCATTAACCAGAGCCGCCCCACAAGGGATGTTAGTCTAAGAGTGCCAAGATTAGGCACACAAGGAAATCGACCACCCCTCCTCAAAGAATACGTTATGGGCTTAATCCAGCATTAGGTCCAAGTCTTAGGTTTGGGCTTGACTTGACCTTATACAAGGCCTAGACCACCCAAATTGCACCCCTACTTTTCGAGTATTAATGTGTCCAAACAATTAAGATAAAAATAAAATTGTTCTTTCACCTTTTCTTATTGAAATTTGTTTTTCAAAGGTATTTTATCTTGAAGCAAATTTGCCTATATGGAAATTTTCAAATGCTTAATTGCCCTTTAACTATATATATATATATATATATATATATATATAAACCTTGAAATAAGTGTGAAATGTGTTTTCTTTTTCTTTGAACTTTTGGAAGCTCGTTTTATGGAATAAGTTTTGCACAGACTGCAGTGGCTCCTACATTTTTTTTTTTTTTTGTTTGGAGAAAACAATAGATGAAAATAATGTTCATAATCCGTGATCTAATAGGCTGGTTGGACTGATGAACCTGTCAACGGACCAGATTTCTGGGTCTGTTTCACCCTGAACTTCTTGTTTGCAAAAAAAAAAAAAATCACTCAGGCCGCATTTGTTTGAGGTGGAAATGCGAACCAGTGTGAAGATTACATTTCGGTTTGAGTTTGCATTCGTTTGTTTGAGGTGTTGGTTTACACCGTAAACCAGCGTAAAACTTCACTGTGCCCATGTTTTACATCAATATTCGGTGAAAATTTATCAGCGATAAAATCAATGTAAAATTCCATTGTCTTCCCCATCGATGTAAAACTCCCTCCTTGAATCTCCTCTGGCCGTCGCAACATCTAAACAATCACCAGTACTATTTTCTATCGGCAACGATGCGAGTACAATCTTCCACCATTTTTTTTTTTCGATCTGGAGGAGCAGATATGAGGAATAAATCTCATATCTGCACCATTTTGTTCCCAGCTAATGAACAAATCTGAAGAAGGGATGCATCGTTCTCAAATTTGCCACCAGTTTTTTCTCCTTTTTCACGGATCTGAGGAACGGATGGATGCATCGTTGTCAGATCTGTCCCCATTTTTTCTTCCTTTTCCTCAGATCCGCCCCCATCATTCTCATCAGTTTTTTATTTCTCACCACTTTTCTGCTCTGATAATGGTCCTATTCATCGTCATCAACATTCTAAAGCACCAAACAACGACGGTAATTAGAGCTTTGTTTTTTTCATCCTCCATTTTTTTTCTTGTTCTCTGATTCCCTTATCTTCCTCCTATTCTCTCAGCTTCCCTTTCCATCTTCCTTTTCGCCGGTGAGCCATTACCATTGTCTTCTCCGACGAAAGCAGGGGAGTTGCAGCGGCAAGTCCCTCCTCTTCGTTCCCACTTGAATCCATTAAAAACCCCCTAGTTTTCAGTTCTTTTTTCTTCCTTCTTCTATTTCCTACAGCATCCCACCATTTCTACCACTCTAATCGTCATTCGACCACCCTGAACTGCCTCATGGAACAGAGCTACCCGTATCTGTGTTTTTTTATTTGTCTGAGAGTTCAATGTGTATACAGGCTAGATGACAAAAGAACAGTTAAAGTAACACTTGCCAAGTGACTTCAATGTTAAATTTTAATCAGGCATTCGAACAAGTGGTGGTCCATCGCTTGGGCATTATACGTAGCCTCAATAAAATACTTGTTTACCTGACTGGTTGAATTGCTGAACCATTTCACTGAATCAGTGGGTTCATTCCATTTTTATATTTTTATCCATCCATTATCAGTAATAAAATAATTCTCATTTCTCACATTTGTTTTATTTAATATGAAGATTTATATATTCTTAGTATTTTTTATTCTTTGATCGATTCAAATGGTTGAATACTTGACCCACTACCGAAAAGGAAAAGTGGTTCTATTTCCAAGTCAGTTTAAAACAGCTATTAAAATGTGAAAAAGGGTTTTTAGGAAGTCATTTAAGGAGTGGGCCCACAAAAAGTAAACAAAACAGATAACAAGTTAAAGTACTCCATTGAGATGATAGCTTAGTTCTCAGTTTTTAAATGCTTGTTTGTTTTTCGCTGCTAGAATATTCCTTCTCCCACTTCTCACAATCGGAAATCAAACCTTTGCATTTCATAATGCATTTGGCATTTGGAGAATGATGATAGGCTGATAGCCACAGCATCTATATAAATTATCAAGAGGAAAGCTTAAGATCAACCATGCAGCATGACTTGGTTAGGATTATATTCCCTCCTCTTTTAGGGTGAGTGGAAGCTTTTTAAGCTTTTTCTTTATGGTGAAATAGCCAATTTTCAAAGAATTTCTTTTTCATTTTCTTCTTAATTGGTTTATTAATATCCTCTACAGGATGGATGTCCATGCATGTAACATGCCCATGATCCACTTTGCCTAAAAGATTTTATTTTTAGGAGTATTTGCCAAAATGAGAGTTCTTTTGGTTCACAGCCAGAATTGGAATCTAAATTCTTTGGAACCGCAATCGGAATGGTCTACTCTTATAGTCTATTTGATTCAGACAGGAATGAGAATAGAAGTTAGAATCAGCTGGAATGATATTTCATTCTGAAGAGAGAGGCAGGGATTGACCATACCCTGAAATGGGGGATTGCCATTCCAGCCGGAATGGGAATAGGATTCCAATTCCACTCAACCAAACAGTTATAATCGAAATAGCCCATCCCAATTCCGATTTTAGACCCCTATTCCTGTGAACCAAATGGGGCCTGAATGACTTTAGCAACAATAACAACAAATGTAGTGTATATATACTATCATCCCTTCATGATTGATCTAAAGAGTATTTAGTGTCATTGTTGTTTGAAGTCTCACATTTGTACTTGTGCCTCCATAAGTATATATATATATATATATATATATATATGCTTTGATTTTATTAAACCGACATGTTTGGTTGGAGTTATGTGTAATTCACATTATCACTCAGGTTTACTTGCAAGTTGCAAGTCACTTTTGGTGTTTCCTCCTTTATTCCGTTATCTTGCAACATCTAGGGTGTGCTTAGGTCTATTTCCATTTAAGGAGAGGAGAAATGCCTATGTGGCATTGAAATTAATGATACCATTTTTTCAGACAAACAACAATGAAACCAAACACCATCCTAATAGTATTGATGCGAGTGAAATTATATTAAAAAAATTATACCTTCAATTGTGTGCAAAACATCGAAGCCCAACACAAATATTGTCACTTCAACCACTATGGTACCAAACACAACCCTAGTGACTAGTGAGCGGTTAGCAGTAAGTGATGTTTCAAGCAGAACAGTCGTCATTGGTAGAGTCAATTCAGGCTTACAGTTATACTCTAGGAGCCAATTCCTGCAACCACCAACTTTGGGGAGTGGGGGTTATTAGTGGTGAATTTCACCAAATATCTCAAAAAATATACTCTAGTTTTAACCTAGGAGACTTGATATGGGATATGTTTAAAAAATTTACCAAGGGCCTGTTTGGTTGCAGGAATAGTGGTCTGGAATCAGAATGGCAATGATATTTTCATTCCAATTCCAACTATTTGGTTTTAACCTAGGAGACTGGATATGGGATATGCATAAAAAATTTTCTAAGAGCCTGTTTAGTTGCAAGAATAGGGGTCTGGAATTAGAATGAGAATGACATTCTCATTTCAATTCCAACTGTTTGGTTAGGCAAAATTAGAATACCATTCCAATTCCAAATGTTTGGTTAGCCAATTCTCATTCCAATCAGATCATTCTGATTCTGATTCCAACAGATTTTGAATCCAATTCAACTGTGAACTAAATAGACCCTAAGTACTTACAAGTGTGCCTACTAAATCACAGTTTCTCTTATCCTACATTCTGTGAATACTATCTTGATCATTAAATTTACTTCTGAAGGACAATATTCCAAGCTGTTCCAGGGCTTTCAGTTCAAGCAGCCCGAGAATTGGCTCATGATATTTCATGGGCTGTCTTCTCCTACATCCATCACAACTCTTGAAATGGTGGCCAAGGCTTGAGATGAACAACAAAGAACAACAAAGTGTTGCTTTTATGGGCTTATTGATGAATCATTTCAGCGTGAGTATATCAAATAGTGTTTGATCACTATAGCAATCTAAGGCTTTAAATGACATCCATTTTGGATTCAATTCGTCCAATTTGATTATAAGGCAATCTGAACCTAATCCATTTATAAGTGGACTGAATATAATCTACCTCTATGTGATCGGATATAATATTTAAGCATTTACTTTTATGCTTAAGCACAATAAAATTAATATTATTAGTAGGTAACAATATGTTTAAGATATAGGTTTAAGTTTTATAAAAGTTCTTTTTTTTTGGATTATAACAGATAAAGGCATCTTTTGGGCCATAATATCAATAAAAGTAATACTTTTATTTAAATTTCAAAAATAGGCTAACTTTTTAAAAATAATAGTAATTAAGAGAAAAAACATTGCTTATCATCTTCCTCTTGCAATTGAATCATCAGTGCCACCACCTTTGGCAAATTCCGGCAATGTTGCCGGAGGTGGGCAGAGGCAGAGGCGGTGGTGGCGGCATTGGGCAGAGGAATGACCACCAGCGCCGTCACCGCCGCCTTTGCCTCTGCCCGCCTCCGGCAACGTTGCCGGAGATAGGAGGAGGCATTGCCAGAGTTTGCCGGAGGCGGTGGTGGGCAGTGGCGCTAATGACTCAATTGCAAGAGGAAGAAGATGAACGGTATTTTTGCCCTTAATTGCTATTATTTTTAAAAAGTTAACCTATTTTTGAAATTTAAATAAAAGTATTAGTTTATTGGTATTAGACCCAAAAGTTGCCTATAATCCCTTTTTTTTAAAGTGCTTTTCAAGAAAATGTTCTTTTTTCAGAAAAAAAAAGTTCTTTTTCAACTCATTTCATAAAAGTTTAAAGTCATTTCTATTCATGCATTGACAGTTGACTGAGGACGAAGGTGACTGCCGGTATTCATTCCAGAATACCATGCCCAACAAGGGAAATTTAGAGTTGGATTTTCAAAAAAGTCAGTGTGAACACTAAATTCACAGAAGGTGACTGCCGGTATTCATTCCAGAAGAAAACAAAGCGAGGACTGAGGACGAAGGGTTAACTTTTGAATTGGGCAAAGACAGGACAGAGGGTCTCAGATATGTCAAAAGAAGCCTGCATCTTTCAAAGCTAGTAGGACTCTTGAGAAAAATAAAAGAGCAAAAACAAATAGCAGGGCGGCAGCAACGCGTGCAGAGAGCAGGAGGCAAGAGCACTACTACACTAGACTAGGTATGAACACAGGGAAACCGCTTAGAAATGTCGAAGCTGTCAGCTCTTATCATAACAGGTTCAAGGTGTACAAATAAAGGCAACAGAAACAGATTTCTTGCTTTTTCGCAAGACTGGTTCATTAAAGGTGAGCATACCGCCATATTCATAACCCAAGTTTGGTGCTTTTGATTGATTCTGGTGTAATGGGTAGTGTTCTCAGAGACTTCTTGTGCTTGCACTTGTTCTTTCTTTTTGTTTGGGTTCGTAACGGTTCTGGGTTGAGCTCCGATGGAGAAGCTCTGCTTTCACTTCTGAAAGGTTTGACAGTACCACCTTCAATTATATCGAGCTGGAATTCGAACGATTCCACGCCTTGTAACTGGCAAGGAATTGAGTGTGATGAGCTCAAACAGAATGTAATCACTCTGAACTTGTCGGGTATTGGGGTTTCTGGTTCACTAAGACCGGAGATTGGCCAGTTGAGATCGCTCAAGACGATTGACCTGGACACTAACAATATCTCAGGTTTGATACCGCCGGAGCTGTCGAATTGTAGTCTTGTCGAATACTTGGACTTATCTGCGAATGGTTTCAGTGGTGAAGCGCTTGGGTATTTAGCAAACTTGAGGAACTTGTGGTATTTAATGCTTTTTGATAATTTCTTGAGTGGAAAGATACCAGAAGCCTTGTTTCAGATTCCACACTTGGATACGATTTACCTGCAGAATAATGGATTCACAGGTTCTATCCCGTCGAATGTAGGGAACATGACTGAACTTGTTTCTTTGTGGGTCTTTGGTAATCAATTATCGGGTAGCATACCAGAATCTATTGGGAATTGTACTAAATTGCAAGAACTCTATCTTACTGACAACCAGTTGGTTGGTTTTTTGCCTGAGAGCCTAAACAATCTTGAGCTACTTACCGTCTTGGATGTCAGTTCGAACAGACTCGAGGGCAGGATTACATTGGGTTCAGGAAGATGCAAGAATTTACAGAAGTTGGTTTTGTCTACCAACCGTTTTATTGGAGAAATTCCAGCAGGTCTGGGCAATTGCAGTAGCTTGAATTGTTTTGCAGCTCTTAACAATAGCTTAACAGGTAAGATCCCTTCTTCCTTTGGTTTACTTACTAAACTTGAGATACTTTACCTTAATCAAAACAATTTGTCTGGAGAAATACCACCTGAGATTGGGAGCTGTAAATCCTTGAAGGTGTTACTGTTGTATACCAACCAACTACAGGGTCAAATCCCGAGTGAGTTGGGATCATTGAGCTATTTAGAGGACCTTGAGTTGTTTTCCAATCAATTGACTGGAGAGATTCCAACAAGCATTTGGAAGATTCCAACACTTAAATACATCATGGTTTATCAGAACAATTTATCTGGGGAATTACCTTTAGAGATTACTGAGCTCCAACAACTGGAAAACATATCTTTGTTCAGCAACCATTTTTCTGGAGTCATACCCCAAGGGTTGGGAATCAATAGTAGCTTGGTGCAGTTGGAATTGACTAACAATAGGTTCTCTGGTGAAATCCCGCCAAACCTCTGCTTTGGAAAACGATTGAGAGTTTTGAATATGGGCCTAAATCAATTTGAAGGTAACATACCTTCAGATGTTGGGCGTTGCTCATCCTTGAAAAGATTGATTCTAGAAAGAAACAATCTTACCGGCCCCCTTCCTGATTTTGTGCAAAACTCAAACCTCTTGTTCATGAACATTTGTGGAAATAAAATAAATGGAACAATTCCTTCAAGCTTGGGGAACTGTACCAATCTTGGAACAATTAATTTGTCCATGAATGAACTTACAGGGTTTATACCTCAAGAACTGGGAAACCTTGCGAACCTAGAGCGGTTAAATTTGTCTCATAACAATCTTTTAGGTCCATTGCCTCCACAGATCTCAAACTGTAAGAACTTATCGGAGATGGACCTGGGGTTTAACTCATTAAATGGTTCAATTCCTTCAAGTCTAAGAAGCTTAACTCAATTATCCAATTTGGTACTGAGAGAGAATAAGTTCAATGGGGGTATTCCAGATTTCTTGTCAGAATTTAAAAATCTTCTAGAGCTGCAACTTGGAGGAAATCTTCTTGGGGGTGAAATCCCTTCAACAATTGGATTGTTGCAGAACCTAGTCATTGCTTTGAACCTCAGTGATAATGGACTGATGGGGGAACTTCCATCAGGGATTGGGAAGTTGAATAAGATTGTATGCTTGGATATATCTCACAACAATCTTTCAGGAAGCTTGGAAGTTCTTGGTGCACTTGAGTCATTGACGGGTGTAAATGTTTCATATAATCTCTTCACTGGTCCTGTACCAAATACATTAATTAAGTTGCTAAAGTCCTCTCCTTCATCATTCCTGGGGAACCCAGGAATCTGTGTTCCTTGTCTTCTTGGGGATGGCTCAAGTTGCAGTATGAACAGCACTTGTAATCATCGGTCTGGTGATCAGAAAAGCTTTAGAGTAAAGATTGCATTGATAGCTCTTGGATCATCACTATTCTGTGTTCTAGTGATTCTCCTGTTAAGTTATGTATTTTTCATGTCTAGAAGATCAAAACCAGAAGTTGAAAGTTCTTTTTGTGAAGCTTCAACTTTCTTACTGAATGAAGTGATGGAGGCCACTGATAATCTGAATGAAAGATTTATCATTGGCAGAGGAGCCCATGGGACTGTTTACAAAGTAGTATTGGGTCCAGAGAAATTGTATGCTGTAAAGAAACTTGCATTTTCACACCATAAAGGTGCAAGTGGGAGCATGATTAGGGAAATCCAGACTGCTGGGAAGATCAGACACCGAAATCTGGTGAAATTGGAAGTTTTCTGGTTGAGGAATGACTACGGATTGATCTTGTACAAGTACATGGAGAATGGAAGCCTCCATGATGTTCTGCATGAGATAAAACCACCTCCAGTTCTCAAGTGGGAAGTGCGTTTCAAGATAGCACTGGGAATTGCCCATGGATTAACTTATCTTCATGATGACTGCGATCCTGCTATTGTTCACCGAGATATCAAACCAAATAACATACTACTGGACATGGAGATGGAGCCTCATATCTCTGATTTTGGCATTGCCAAACTTCTAGATTCTTCTGCCTTAGATCAGTCCATCACAGTAGCAGGCACCATTGGATATATAGCACCAGGTCTGCCCTTTGGATATTAGCTTTATTTCTTTTTCTTATCCTTTTTATTCCTTTTCATGCTCTCTGGCATTTCACTTTCTTCACCTTAATTTTTCAGCCTTTTTATCTTGAAATTATTTGTAAAATTTTCATTGACTCTGGTTTGTAACAGAGATTGCATATAGAGTGGCAAAAAGCAAGGAATCCGATGTCTACAGCTATGGTGTGGTTTTGCTTGAACTAATAACCAGAAAGAAGGCCTTGGATCCTTCATTTCCCAAGGACACAGGCATTGTCCATTGGGTAAGCTCAATTTGGAGTACAACCGAGTCCCTCAATAGGATTGCGGATCCAAGCCTCATTGAAGAATTCTTGGATTCCTCTGTCCTAGAGGAAGCAGCAAATGTGCTGTTGGTAGCACTGAAATGTACAGCACAGCAGCCAAGTGAGAGACCCACCATGAGAGACGTGGTGAAGCAGCTAACAGATGCAAAGTCCCAAGTTAGAAGGAAAAGGAGTTAGTCTTTGTAGTCTGTGGGTAACTTGAACTTTGTTTTCCTTCTTGCCACTTTAAATTATGTTTTTGTGTTTAACCAGTTGATATATTATTCTATGACAGCCACATAGTTCCTAGTAAAGGTTGAAAGTGAAAAAATTCCAACAGAAGCTTTTGCCATTATAGATAGACCCACATTTTGGACAAGAATTTAAACTGACTTTTGGCCCAGTTAATCGAGATGGGTCTGCTCCTCACAGAGCACGCTTAATACCAACCTCACAGGCACAGTGTAGCCTTGCATTGAGAACATCTGTCGTACTTGATGTCATCATTCATGGGAAGATTTTCAGCTGCAATGCACGGTGAGGTTGGTGCGAGGCGCGCTCTGTGAGGAGCAAATATGAATTCCAGTTAATCTCTTATCCTTATAGGTGAGAACTGTTGAATAGTGGGTCCTGATACAGATGGCATGTTATAGAGCCCCAAATAGGCTTCATTTGTTTGCTATGAAATTCCAATTGCACTAGAACATCTGCATTGGTGTAGAAACCAGAAATTCTTATTTACCTTTAGTACAGATTTTACTTTGCTTCAGGTTTTATTTTACTTAGTGTACTACAAACATACAAAACGAAATAAAATTTAAAACAAAAATCAATCAAAATTTGCATTCAACACCGGTGCATATCAAATTATATTTTAAACAAACTAGGCCATAATATCCAAGCAAACACATTAGCCTCTTCAGACACGAGTTCAGAGCCTAGCCCATTTTTACCAGAACTGTAAGGTATCTTCAAAGCAAATCTCATGCAAACATTATTAGGATCAATTATTCCAAAGTTTGTAGTTGATCTTAAGAACACCAACACATATTCTTGAATGTACAGAGAAAAGTTTGCAGATCTACCCATTTAGATCAAATTGGCTCCAGAGTTTGCTGAAACAGGAGCCTAGTTTAACTATTTAGTTGAAAATTAATGGTCCAACTAATGAAATTGTTTGTTTAAGTTTTAATATCAGGGATTCTGCTTGTTTATTTCCTTAAAAAAGATAAAAGCCAATATTAATATGAGAACAGAAAAAGAATATGAAGAGTTTACTTTCACATACCTTGTATTCTATGCCATGCACGTTATTTAAATTCAGTTTTTTCTCCTGTATTTGTCATTCATGGGGAGATTTTCCCAATCTGCAGCTGTAGTGTCCTGTGCATAGCATGTGCTCAGTGTTTTTTGTGCAGCCGATCCATGCCACAATGTTCAGTTATTTAATCAATAGCAAAATTTTGGAGGAAAAAAAATAAATTTTTGAGCTATTAAAGAAAAACAAATTGCCAAGTTTTCAATTATGAGTCCTTTTTACCAAGGAAATTGAAACTCTCTTTTGAGACTTTAAAAGAAAAGAAAATTACTCAATAACCGCCCAATTTACTCAGTTTTAATAACTAAACAAGAGACCCACATATGCGACCAAAAACAATGATCATGGCTAGGAAGCACACTTTAAGAACCATGGTGTATGTTTCCAAAGGGACCGAATGGGGTTGGTGTCTATTCATTCAACAATGGTGTAAGATTACGTCTATGAAATATGGTATTTGGATAGTGCAAATCAAGGCAAGTATCCATTATATAATGGGGACCTGTTAGATGCATGGACTTTGTTAAAAAAAAATAGGCAAATTAAGAGGAGTTACGAGTGCAGCTTAGGTAGGATTAACCCAAATTCAACCAAAGATTTTGCATACGTTGGGCTTGAGTTTTTGAACTTCAAGTTGGGCTTAGGCCAAAAAACTCAAGCCTAACTTAAATTAAGGTCGGGCTTGGGTTGGGGCCTTAGGTAACTCGAGCCTGATTCGACCATTTTGTGCCCACCCAACATTTTGTGATATACATATCTATATATTATCAATATATTCTACAAAGAAATTGTGCAACAAAGCTCAACACATCCAATCCTAAGCCCAACCCAAGATGTTGGGTTAAAGCTCGGATTAAGGCTAAGTTGGTAAGAGAAAAGTTACTTGTAATTTTCAATGATTACTGATAATTTACTAATATATAACAAAAATAGAATGGCAATAATTACTGATAATTTACTAACTCAGGCCCAACCCCAAGCTTAACCTAACATCTTGGGCTGGACTTGGGCTTAGGCATATTGAACTTTATAGCGCAATTTCCAAGTAGAACATATTGATAATACATAGATATGTATATCATAAAATGTTGGCACGAGATCAAATTGGGCCGGATTGCACTTGAACTACCTAAGGTCTCAACCAAAGCCCAACTTGAGATTAGATTAGCCTTGACTTTTTTGGCCTAAACTCAACTAGAAGTTCGAAAACTCAAGCCCAACTTATGCAAAAGCTTTGGTTGAACTAGGTCAGGCTCGGGTGAGGCCCACCCAACCTAAGCTACTCCCCTAGCTCCTTTTGCCTCAAAATTTTTTAACAAAAATCATGCATTGCACAAATTTCAATTTATAGTTATTAACAATAATATTAATTACTAGAAGAAGTAATATTTTATGGTTTTTTAATTATTCGCATATAGATAGTTAATGATTAATTTTAAATTTTATAATTAATATTTAAAAATATTAATAAATTTATAATTATAGTTAATAATTCTTAATTATGAATTAATAAAATTAATAATTCTTAATTTGTAAAAATATCACTATTATTAACAATAATATTCAGTAATATTAATTACTAAAAACAATAATTTATTTGGTAATTTTTAATAAATCATGGATATAAATAATAGCTTTTAAGTGAATTTTGGTATTTTTAATTAATCTTAAAAATAATTAATTCATTTTGGTATGGATTATAATAAAATAGAAATAAATTATTAATTATAAACAGTAGGTAATATAGCATTCAAAGTAAATAGGTCGGGTCGGATTAATGAAAATAGAACCATACCAGATTCAAAATAAACCACATCACTTTAGTTAGAAGTGGGGAAGTGGGAATTAGTTAAGAGTATAAAAAAAGTTAGTTGTGAGAGAAGTTTTAGGAATTAAGAAATGGAAAGGTTTATTAAATAATTGAAAAATTGGATTAGAAAGAGTAAGATAGGGAGAATGAGAGTTTTAAGAGCAATAAATTAGGAGTATGGAGAGGTTTTAGGAGAGAGATTTTAGGGATGTTTTTAAGGAGATGTGTCAATAGGAATGCTTTGAGGGAGAGAGAGAGAGAGATGAGTTGAGCTAATTAAGGAGAGTGGTTGTGTGGGTATAGAGAGTTAGTAATGGAGAGAGAGCAAATTAATAAATGGAGATAGAGGGTGCGGACATGTCTTAATAGGAATGGTGGGAAGGAGAGGGAGAGAGAATTAAGGAGGGTAGCATGGGGGGTTTGGAGCAAGGAGAGGCATGGTTAAGTGGACCACATTGCTATATATATAGAGATATAAATATACTTGATGCCAAAAGTATCCATTCTATATAGTATAGATAATTAAATTTTTGTAATGAATCTTCTATTTGAATTAGGAAATTGAATTACAAAGATAGAGTGGATACCTTTTTTATAAGTAGCCATGTGTTTAAAGTTAACTTATAGTGGATATTTTTTTTCTTCTTATAGTTAGCCATGTATTTAAAGTTAACACTTTTCTAATAGTGAAGTTAACTAATTTCACTTTTTTGAGAATAGATAGAGACATGTCCGAAGGAAAAAAAAAAAAAACTTCTATTTGAAAGTGGAAAATACCCTCTTGTTAAATACTATTGTTTGAAAAATTGAATGCCAGGTCTCAAAAGCACATTGGTGTTTGGGTTAACGAATTTAATGTTGACTATTCTTGGACTTTAATAAAAACTGAAAATTATAATTATAAAATTGAAATAGAGTTATAATAATAAAAACTGAAATAAATAATTTAAGATTTATTTTTCCTTAAAATTTTAATAAATACTAAAAAAATAAAAATAATTTATTTTATCTACCTAAAAATGATTTATATGTAAAATATTATTATTTAAAAAATAATCTTTGTTTATATAAATATATATAAATAAATTTCCCAAAAAATTAATAAAAATAGAAAATTATTACCATAAAATCTGATATAAATAATTTAATATTTATTTTTCTTCTAAAAATTTCATAAAAAATGAAAATTATAAAACTAAATTATTTTATCTACCTTAAATGGTTAATATGCTTTATTTTACAATTATCTGTTAAAAATGAAAAATATTTATTATTTGAGAAATGGAGGTATTATTTATATAAATTTACTAAATAAATAATTTTCCCTGAAAAGTTAATAAAACTGAAAAGTGATAATTATTGCATGATGTGTACATGTTCTAAAGTCTTTGTCATGTGTTTAAACTTTATTCATAGATAACTCATCTTTAGATTTAATATTATTAATGTATTTATGTGATATGTATGCATTTATCTATCTAAGCGTTTCTATATCTTTCATTTGTATCCATGTGTTTTTAAAGTGTATTCATATCTAATATTTGTATCTGGGTTGTCCAATGCGATACTTGATACCCATACGTTGATCCTTGGCTATAACCCATTGAAAAATATAGGAAGAATCAAATGAAGTATAGAAAAATTGTATCCTAAATAACAAGGACAATTGTTTTTCTTTAAAGAAAGTTACATGTGGGACATAGCACATGGTGATCCAAAAGAATAGGGGAGTGAATTCTCTCACTGGCCTTAGTTAAAGCCATTGGAAATGTATATGTTGTATGAGCACTATTAAAGAAAGGGAAAAAGTAATCAAATACACCGAATTTTAAATCATTCGACAACATGTTTTCACATACCCAAGGTTATCATCCTTCCCTTACTAGTTATTGGAGCATCAATCACACAAAGAGCAATGCTTATTCAACTCTATGCCATTTCTAAGAACCTACAGGCTGTAGTTTCCATAGTTGGAATAGACGAGGAACCAAAAATCATGTGCTAAAATGATTTAAATAACATGTCACACTATAATGGACATCATCACAACTAAAATATAAAAGTAACTAGAGAAAAAAAAAGAAAAGAAAACACTGTTAATTAAGCTTCTCATTTTGGGGAGAGAGAGAGAGGAGCAAGTTTGCAAGCAAAAATTTTATCTACACTCTACCATACATTGAGGTGTAAAATTGGTCCCCGGCACG